GCTGACTCCCGGGTGCACACCTCAAACCTCCAGTCCATTTGTGGACGCCAACAATAATGGCTTTGTTAGTAACTTTAACTATCGTCGTCATAGCACACAGCAATTGACTTCCCCTTCACGGTTTGTACCCGGTGCACGATAAACACATACTACATTGACCCTTCTGTTCTTGAGTAGTAGTGTTGATGGGTACAGCTGCACCTTTCTCGTGCAGAGGTTTGTCNTATGCCCCTTCTAATTAGAATGGCCACTCCTCCTTCCGCATATTCGTGGTTACGGCTATTCCGATAGACGGAGAACGAATCGTGAGTTACCTGCTGTAGATGGTCTGTATCGTTCGCCAGGTTTCGGTGATTACCACTACAGTCACCTCGTGCTCCCAGGCCATCTGAACCATTTCTGCCCATTTATTCCTAACGTTACATGCATTGGTGTACAGCATAAACACACTTTCCCTTCTTCTTATGCATTTTCCGTAGATCCTTCTTGCTTGGGCCTAGAGCACAGCACCCGATAAGACAGCAGTTTTTTTCTGTTGTAGTTGTATTCTGCGAATCTTTCTGGTGAGCTGCCTCAGCTGGCACATCTTAGCCGTATCTTGTCGGATTAACTACCTCTACTGTATCTTCCATTGAAAGTTGAAGGTTATTTGGGGCAATTCGAAGTAGGTACTGTAATCAGCGCCAGACATCTAGTGACTGTGGATTACAGTCGGATTACCTAACGTGAAGCTGCAGCACACATAGCAAGACGCCAGCTGTTTTGATTAAGGTCAGCAGTCTCGTGTAGGAAAGCAGATGTGTTCATACTTATTTACCAAGCCATCGTAAGGCCTCGCGTAGAATAATGTGTTCAGGCTTTTTCGCCCTTCTACAAAAGGACAGCCTATTTGGAGAAGGTCCAGAAACTAGCAACACGGATGGTTGAGTGCACGAGAGGTAAAACATGCAAGGTTGTGTGCGCTCGGTCTTTTTTCACTAGAAAAGGGGAGTTTACACGAAGACCTAATCGAGGCATTTAAAACTACTTTATAGTATCAAGCTCTAACAGTAAGAAAACGTTGCTGGGCTTCTTCATTGAGGCTCCTCACCAAGGAACGGACATGAGGTCAAACTTACGAAACAGCTTTCTCAGGCGGAATCTACGAGCACAGTTCTTTGGCAATAGGGTAGTCGATGATTGGAATAAACTACTGTCTGAATCGATCAACCGGCCAAACGTCCAGGCCTTTAAAAGAGCTTTGGACGAAATATGGTTAGAGGTTTTCCCTGGCATAGAATGTCAGGTGCATTACTTGTTCTCGCCGACACGGCGAGAAGCGAAGTCTCTCTTTCTATTTGTTTGCAGATAGAAAGAAAAATCGATCAATCGCAGAGATGGACGGACACTCTAGAGCACACCACCGAAGGAATTCTGGACGCTGGATTGGCCCGTGGCCATTATCAATCCAGTGCAACCTGACCTGATCTTCTTGCAGGCAGCTTTGCCAGTGCTCATTCTCTGGTACACCTTCGATGACAACGGCTTTCGGCGACACTGCCGGTGGCGCGCTACATGGTTATCAGAAGATACTATCCGAGTTCGGACCTTCTCTCTTCGTTCGTCACGGTTGATGCTTACTTCGTTAGCATTAAAAAGATCTTTGTGACTCCAACGGGATCCGTGTAGTGTTATCTGATACCTGCTTCTTGTCCTCTGATCCACCAGCACAGATCGTTCAGTAGTAGATTCCTAGATTTGCCGCAACAAACTCCACGGCAATTGGTCGCCCCGGGATCCCATTTTTCTCGGAATTTACGGCTTAAGCCGTCCCAACTCTATGAATCCTCTTAATACCACCAGGATGCAGGATACATGCTAGACACAGCTGCATCTGTGTTGGATATACTAGTATATCCAATTCAGTTCAGTGCAGTGCAGTATGCACAAGACGAAATGTGGCTTCGAGCCAATGAAACTTCCAGATTGTTGTGTTTTTGTCCGGTGTTTATAGCTTCCAACAGTGTATAGTCGATTCCAGCAATTGATCGTGACCGCGCGGGAGTTTGCTGGCTTTAACTGCACTTCAGCAGCCTATTCCTCGGTGTCAACGTTCTTTCTAACATGGAGGATAGAATTAAGCTGAACAAGTCTTGCGTACTTTCTCCGGTGGATTTACTGTGTAATTATGTGCAGCAAGAACACGAAGAGAAACTCTCAGTGCTCAAAGTGCAAGAAGATCGTCGGCCCTCGTGCGAAGGCCCTATTATGTGATATGTGTCAATATTGGCGTCATGTTAAATGTACTAGCGTACCACCATACATGCATACAGCCCTCCAGTCGTGTGACTCCCCAAATTTGAAGTTTGTATGTGACAATTGTCTCCCTACATATCGCATACCGAGTGTAGGCAGAGGAGTGCTGCCCTTGCCGACCGCAAGTGGGCTGGAGGAGTGTGCGCAACATTCCGCATCAGCCGAGGCGCCGCCGACTGATACCGTCGATGAGCACAGACGACTGAGACGCAGGCGTGCAACCAACAACGCGCGACCAACCTCGAGTGAGAGCCGCACAGCGACAGCGATCGAGCCTAGATCCCCTGCGCCGATTCAGACACTGCCGGAGCCACCAGGTTCACCGTCCAACGCCAACATCTGATCGTACGCCCGAGTTGCTGCTGCCACGCATGCCCCCAACAGTGACCAGCGTCACCGAACACCGTTTGACCCAGCCGGCATCCCGAGGGCCCCCCAAACCCAGGCCAGCCCCCCGACCGGCCGTTGCAGGAGACCTGCGACGGGAACGCGTCAGGCTAATACGCGACCTCGACGCAGACGAACGGCAGAAGCTGAAGCAGGCATTAGCCGAGATCCATGAGCGTCGAGCAAGTGGTGAACAAGATCTCTTCATCCGGGATTTTCGGGTCGAAAGGAGGCGCCCACATTTCCGGTGGAGCCCTCTTGCAATACCAAACACAGTCACCTCCGGCGTAAACTGGAGAGACGTGCCGTCAGCTGCCATCGACAGGCGCAACTGCGCGTGCATAGTGTCTACCAATGTACGTGGTGTTTTTGAACAAACGAGACGAGTTGGAGGCGTTTGTCACGGAGCATTTCCCGGTGGTCATCGCCCTCACCGAAACCTGGTTCATCTCCGACGTTCTTGACTTTGAGGTCTCACTCCCGGGGTATGCGTCATTCCGTTTGGAACGTGCATAACCAAGGATGGGTGGGGGTTTCATGCTGTTTATCCACGAAAGTGTACCGGTTACTCACCTCTACAGCTACGCGGATCCTGACGGTCAGGGAGAAGCGCTGTGTTGCAAAACCAAACTGTGCTGCAACGGCTACACGACAATAGGAGTCTGCTACAGACCACCAGCGACAGCCCCAGTGGCCATCCTGAACGATATGCGGAGATGGGCTGGCGACAGCCACTTTGATTTTGGGTGATTTCAGTGTACCCCTAATCAACTGGGGCGAAAATCGCTGCCTACCAAGAGTGGATCAATTCTCCAGAGACCTCCTCGAAGTAGCGAACCAGTTGACCCTGCATCAGCACTCCCGCGAGCCCACCAGGATCAATGATTCTGCCCA